GTATACAAATGTGCCTAGTGTGATTTTCAAGCCACCAGGTCTGGGACCTGAACCACAGTCAGCCATATAGTCATCCAGAGCCCTAACCACCATGCCCTGCTGACCCCTAAATAATCCCTTTAAAAATGGAAGAAGAATTTGAATTAATGCTTCACCAAAGAAAGTAACTTATAGATGGCAAATAAGCACATCCCCAACATCATTAGTCCTTAGAGAAACGAATATTAAAACCACAATGAGGTACCATTACATACTAATAAGAATGTAAAAAAAAAAAAAACCCAAAAAACCAAAACACTGATAAGACCAAGTCTGACGAGGATATGGAGGAACTGGAACTTTCACACACAGCTGGTGAGAATTCAAACTTGTATAGTCACTCTGGAAAAGTCTGGCAGCTTCTTACAAAGTTAAACCTATACTTACCATAAAACCAGAAATGCCACTCCTTGGTATTTACTAAGAAACTTATGTTCACACAAAAATCTGTACATGAGTATTTAAGACAGTTCTGTTCATAATGGCTAAAAACTGTGAACAGTCTAAATGTCCTTCAGGGGGGGAGAAAAGGTAAGCAGTGGTACATCCATGCAGTGGAATACTACTCAACAATAAAAAAGGAACAAACTACTAATTCTGTCAAGTACGTGGACGAATGTCAAGGGCATTATATTGAATGAAAGAACAGTCTTCAGAGATTATATACTATATGATTCTACTTACATAATATTATATTTGTCAAGAAGACAAAAGAACAGACAGTGTTTGCCAAGCGTTAAGACTGGAGAAAAGCCTGACCACAAGGAGTGGCACAAGGGAGTTTTTAGTGTGATATAACCATTTTGCATTCTGATTGTGGTGTATGCTTACACAAATGTTTCTGTGTGTCAATCTCATAGAGCGTTACATCTCCTGAAAAGTCAATTTTACAATATCTTAATTTTTTTAAATTTCCAATATAATTTTAAAATGGAATGTGACAAAGTAATACCAAAGTTTAGCCAGGACCTTCATTGTGCAAGAATGATGAAAACATTTTTAAAAGGACAGTGTTTGAAGACCTGTCCGACCAGAGTTGAAAACATCCGATAAGACTATCACAGCTAGAAAGTATGGCATTGATACAGACAAGTGAATCTGTAAACAAATAAATCAACGGAAGAAGCAGGAGCAGGAGTACACGAGGACCTTGCTTCATTTTAAAGCTATCATTTCATTACTTTAGACGCGTGGGAAAAAGATGGACTATTCAATAAATGGTTAGGGGGACCTGCAGTTGGCATAATGGCTATGTTCTGGACTCCCACGTAGTCGACTGTGGTTTGAGTCCGGGACCCGGTGGCTTGAACTCAAGCCGGGTGCATGTGCATGTGAGTCCAAGATCCCGAGAGTAGAACAGAGAAGGGACTGCAGCGTGGCCATCCCCCGGGGGGGGTGATTTCTTGCTTTCTGTCTCTTTGTCTCTCTCTGTCTTTCGGGCAAGTACACGTGCCCTATAGTGAAAACCTCTCCAAAAAACAAAAAAAATAATAAAATAAATAGATGGTTAGAAACTAATAATATTCATTTTTAAAAATCGAATTTGTATATCACACCATATAAAAAAATAGAATTTAACTGCATTACAGAACTAATCGTATGAAACGAGATTATAAATGTATCCTTCTGAAACACGTGCCTCTGTGTGTGTGTGTGAGTGAATGTATACAAGAACGTCTGATGGGACATTTTTTGTAATAATAGAAAGAAGGAAGAAAGAAACAGAAAGGAATATCCACCGGCAGTTAAATAATATACATTTATACTATGGAATAGGTATGTCAACATACGTACTGACACGAAGAGACTTTTTAAATGTAGAAGAGAATGTTCAGAACGGTTGTGTTAACAGATGTTTGTGTGAGTATTTGACCCACATGCATTGATCTGGAGGGCTGAGCCCTGAACAGCTGACAGAGGGAAGGAGGGGAGGGAAGGGAAGGAGAAGAGTTGCTTTCTATGTCAGCTACTTATGCACTTACTTTATATCACAGTATATAGCAATGTATTATTTATTATATATATAAAACAACTAACTAGCTTTGCCATCATGTAATCAGCACGAGGAAAGAGGCCTGAGAAAAGAGACATGAGAGACTGGAGAGAGGTTCAGTCAAGTCTGTGAGAGGCTGTCACACGAGAAGGGATATTGGTGCTGGGTCATCGCCACATCCCTCTTGGCCAGCAGGGCTTTTTGTTCAGTCTAGACCTGTCCCTTTGCCAGCTGAGGTCCCAGATCCCCAGTAAGAAGGAGTAGTCGAGGAATAAGAGGATTCTTCTTGCTATGTTCAGGGTTAGTAAGTGTTTACTGTTTTGCATTTTGCAAGACTTTAAGAAAAAGAAAAGCAAAAAGAGAGTGAAAAACAAGGCAATGCTAAACTGTGAAAAGAATATTCTGTCTTTCGCTCTTCAGAACGGCCATAGTCAGTGCAGCTCATTGAGCTGAAGAGAGTGAAAAACTAATGACTAGGTTCACTGAGTTGCCTTGGTAGCCACTTCCTATGGGATTTATAAAAGCAAGTCATTGCAGAATATCAACTGTTATAACTTACATACATATATGCAATGCATGTGTGTATATATAGTTATAAATATATACACATGATGCTGTGCTGTTATTGTGTTATTATGTGAAGTTGTACATATATGGTGTACTATTACAGTGTTACTATGTGGGTATATATACATGCACAGGTATACATCTCAATAGTGTTATACTGTTAGTGTGTTCTGTGTGTGTCTGTGTAATATATATATATATATATGTATGTATTATACTGTCGTTGTGTTACTGTACACATCATTTTTTCATTTACAAAATCCTCTCTCCAGAGCTTCTTATTGGACCCTTAAAACAGGACAGGTGTTATTATCCTGATAACTACATACAGCATCCTGGGAGTTTAGAGAGTCTCATGGTTTGATGACTGTTCTCTCTCCAAGTCTTATGACCACGGCAGGTGGGTGTCTAGACATCTCACTAACAGAAGATACACCTCACAGAAGCCACAGGAGAGAACTCTGTGGCTTCTTTAGAAAGAATACATAGGAAGGACCATTTCTTCTTGACAATAGAAAGAAAAAGTTTGAAAAATGTGGTTCTAAAAATATTTATCTATCAAATGCATATATTTATACACAAACATAAAACTCACTCTTGTTTGAAGTATTGATGCCTCAAATAATAGGAACCGCGTGTAAAAGCACTTCAACAGGACACGCAATAATATGTCAGGGCAAGTCAAGTCCTGCCTTGTGTTTTAAAGTTATTCTCAGTCATTTTGATTCCACGTGTGTAAAATACATTACTATGAGGAGGATGTTTCACGAGCTGTACTCCTAATTTTAAAGATCTTTTCATAGCCTTCGAGTATACTGAAACTGTATTTGGAAGTCAATGGTGAGTTAATTATCACAAGATTGCTGGGTAAAATGATCTTCTCATGAAGTAGTTTACCATTTTTAGTGAGCTAACTCAGCTTTCTACAAACAATAACATCAAGGAAAACATTTTAAATGTAACATGTATCTTTTTTATCATGAAACCATTTCTAACTTGAAGGTGAGAAGTCAATAGTTCTTGGAACTAGTAAAACACTTTCTTCAATATTAGAAAAAATTTCTTTGCTTAGCAAAGAGACTTAGAAATGAAACTTTAGGGAGCTGGCTGGTGGTGTGGTGGTTAAGTGTGCTGGACTCCCACATGGCCGACCTGGACCTGGTGGCTTACTTTCTGTCTCTCTCTCTCTCTCTCTCTCTGTGTCCCTCTCTGGTCAAATAAATAACATTCAATAAAATAATTGAAAAAAAAAAAAGAAATGAAACTTCAGGCAAGATAATACAGAGTAATTTTTTATTTATCTTAAATCTCATGTAAATACATGCTAATCTTTTGTTTTGTTTTGTTGAGAGAGAGAGAGGGAAAGTGAGAAATCATCTCTCGAGGGGTGGCCACACCACAATCTGTCCTCCATTTTTTATTTTCCAAAAAGACATGATGGCTACCTAAGGAATGATTTTTCTCAAAGTTCCTGAATCAACAGTGCCTCATCCCTTCCAGGTTTCTTTACCACCTGAGGGCCAAGCAGTGGTGCAGAGGTCATGCAACTTGACCCACATGGGAAAGGCCATGGGTTCATGCCCCAGGACCTCCCTGAGCATACTGGGCCTGGAGTGCATGTGCACACCCATGATCTGGGCTGGCAGAGACTGGGAAGGATTGTGGTGTGAGGACCCTGTTCTTATTAGGGGTGTCTCTCTCTGTTTCTGTTTCTCTCTCAGAAAATAATAAATACATTAAAAAAAATAAGCTACCAACCGGGCCCCCTAGTTTCCATCTTCACTTAACATTCCTAGCTAGAAGTGAATTAAACAGGCCCTGTAGTTTCCATCCAGTTATCTTTCCTAGCGAGGAATGAGCTAAAGCACAGAATGCCCTGTTTCCGTAACAGCTAACACACACCACGCACTGCACCAAGTGTTTTATCTGCATTGCGTCCTTTAGTCAGGCAACAGAAGCTGTCAAAGTTAAGTAACATGGACTGACACCATGGCCTACTAGTTAAATGAGCCTGATCCCACATGATTGACCGAACGGTTTGAATCACAGACACAGTGGCTTGAAAAACTTGCCAGGCGCATGTGCGTACATGCCCCAAATCCCAATGGGATGGAGAAATGCCGGAGAAAGGACTGCAGCATAACTATGCCTGATTACTGGGTATTTTCTCCCTCTCCCTCCACTCCACCTCCCATCTGTCTTTGGCAAGAATACATGCACACTGAAAAATTAAATTAAAAAAAGTTAAGCAACATGGTTGAGGCTGCACAGTGGTTAAATTAAGCAAGACTTGAACCCCACAGGTTCATGTGAATTCAAAGCTTGTTTTTTTCATCAGAGAAAATAAATATGAGATTAAAGACGTAAGCATGGGATCAATATTTGAAAAGTAGTAACTCACGTGTTTAACTTTGTGTTTTCTTCATCAGCCTTTCAGAAAGAGTTATTGTGTCCACTATGTAGCAGGTCAGGGATGGCTGTGAATGAGTGCTCTTGGAGCTTACATTCTAATACAGACGGGAGACAATGATTAAAAAACAAGCAAATAGATAACTTCAACAAATATGTTAGGCAAGGGCTCTGTACATCACTAAGGAAGATGAGGACGGGTTCTAATTATTTGTCTTCCTGCTCTCATTTCTCCTCTGAGTTGTGCCTCCTATGAGAGTAGGAATGCCCTTTAAGTCCCTGCTTTGTCTTAAACATCCATTTGCACTCAGTAGGATCCACACATCAGTGACACATTTATTTAAAGAGCAAAAGGGAGGCCAGCAGGTGGCAAGGAAGCTAAAATGACTGGATCCCATATGGCTGACTGTGTGATTTGAGTCCTGGACCTGGTAGCTTGAAAAACATGCTATGTGTGTGTGCGTGCATGTGTGTGTGTGTGTGTGTGTGTGTGTGTGTGTGTGTGTGTGTCTAAAATCCTGAGGGGAGAAGGAACTGCAGTGCGGCCATACCCCTGGGAGTGATTTCTCACTTTCCCTCTCTTTTTCTCTCTCTCCCGCTAGAGCACATGCCCTAGAGCAAATTAAATTTAAAAAAATAAAAAAGCATTCTCTCTGACAACTTATTATTTGAATTTAAATCATGGTCTTTTGGAGATTATAGTCCTTTGCAGCTTCAGTTTATCTTACCTGTATTTGAAGATGGGGTATAGAAGCATTTTCCTCTATTCTATAGGGTGCAGGAGTTCATATTATCCTCAATGTAGTCAGGAAGATCAGAAAACCCTGGAGAGCTCAAATTGCCTGAAAGAAGTATGTTCTCCTGTATGGGAAGGGGAAAAAAAACCACAAAATTTAATTTAATTTTGTAAAGACATTTAGGTTTTTAAAGTCTGACCTTTTGGCTTGGTTTTCAAAATTCTCTCATGAGCCAAATCACTAGCTAGAGTTATCAGATGTGCCCCAAGTGAATCATTTGTTAAATAATTGATGTCTTGCAATAAATGGCATCTTTGAAGGGAATGTTCATCTTCCGAAGGGCTGGCTGCACCTAATTCCTGTAAAAGTCACCAGACACTGAGAATTATAGTTGCTCATTACTCAATATATGGGCCTCAAAAATTGAAATTCTGTGATTTCACAAAACCTTTGGAGTCTAAACCATCTGTCAGACACTGGAGATACCGGGGTGTGCAAACTCGGGCCCTATACGTGAGCTCATGGAGTTGCTCAAATAATGGTACTTTTGCTTCCATATGACGTTCTGAATTCCACCCCATCTGTTCTGAATCAGAATCCAGAGGCCAGTGAGTATCAAACTTAGTGCCTACCAAAGACATAGATTACGGGGGTTGGGGGGGAAAGGATCCACACCAGGAGGCTTTGATTCAACAGGATGGGGGTGGGGCTTGTCATTTGGACTCCTAACAAATTCCCAGGTGATGCTGACACTGATACTGAACCAGGGGCCAGTTTTTAAGAACTGCTGGCCTGGGGAATGGAGCAAAGCATTTAGGGGTGATTCTGATGTAGCCCAGGGTAGGGACCACCAATGTACCATGTGCCCGTTTCTGTGTTGACTGCAGGTAAACAGGGAATTTCATGCTTTAAAATAAGCACAAGTCCAGTCCCTGCCTCCAAGAAACTTACTGAGGCAGGGGAGGTGAAATAGCAAGTTGAAATTTTATGAACAACTGAAGTATCTTGCTGAGTGTAATTATTATATGGACACAAAGGCTTTGGAAATGTGGGATCTCAGTGGGTACAGGAATGATGGGAAATTTGCTGGGTCCTGAAAAGGGAGTGATCTTGAGACCTGTAGTGGGAAAACAGGAACTGATTCAAGGAAAAAAGAACCTGGAGTGCATTTCCTTCCAACATGGCATGGATGACAAACCCCAGTACTAGCGAAAGTAGATGGGACTTGGTCACTGTGCTTGTCAAGTTTTTCTAGAGAAACAGAATCTACGGCATATAGGTACAGACAGTCCTCGACTTAGGATGGATCAAAATAATATTTTGACTTTATAATGGGTTTACTGGGACATTAAATACTTTTTCTTAAAGAGTGGCTTTTGCTATAGGATGTGTGTACTTGCCAGAGAAACAGAGACAGACAGACAGAAAGCAAGAAATCCCCCCCCCCCCCGAGGGGGATGGCCATGCCACAATCCCTTCTCTATTCTCCTTGGGATTTTGGGCACCCACATGCACACACATACACCTGGGGTGAGTTTCAAGCCACTGGCTCCGGGACTCAAACTGCAGTTGACTGCGTGGATGTCCAGTGATAATCATTACAACATCTGCTGGTCCCTTAAACACATTTTTGACTTATGATATTTCTGACTTTTGATGTAATGCTATCTATAAGCTGAGGTGAGTACATCTGCAATAGGTATATAAAAGGAGATGATTATGAGGACTGTCTTCTTTGAGTATGGGTGCATGAAAAGTCATGCAATCTGCTGCTGCAAGCTGGAGAACCAGGAATACCAGTGGTGAATAAATGCTGAATAGCTCCCGTAACTTACTGAACACAGTACCCTGTAGGGTATTATACAGTATCCGCTGTCTACTCTCGTGATCGCGTGGCTGACTGGGAGAGAGTATTTATCCTACTATATATGGCTAGCCCTGGAAAAGATCATGATTCAAAATTTGAACTACAAGTTTTACTGAATGCACAGCACATTCATACTATCCTAAGTAAAAAAAAAAAAAAAAAAAAAAAAATCCTAAGTCACATCACCAAGTCAGGAGCATCTGTGGTTCCAGTCCAAGCTTGAAGCCTTGCAAACCCAGAGCTCTGGTGTCTGATGTCTCGACACAGATTGCAAATTCTCCCTTGTTCTCTTCAGGCTGTCAGTGGGCTGTACGATGTCTACCCACACCAGTGAGAGTCATTTTCTTTCCTCAGTCTACTGACTCCACTCAGTCATTTTCTCTACTAGGTTCTCTACTCAGTCAGAAACTCTCACAGATATCCCCAGAAGTAATGATTTCCCAGTTAGCTGAGCATTCCTGTCAGGTTGACACATAAAATCAACCATGGCAGTCACTAAGAAAAATGCTAAGTATTTTTATATTTCAGTAGTTGTCGTTACTTCAAAAACATTATTTATAGGCATCAACACTTTGAAATTGTAATAGCTACAGATCTGCCCCTAGATCTCCTGTAGAATGGGAATATATTTTCTTTTTTTTTTTTGAGAGATTTTTTGCTATAGGGCGCGTGCGCTCGCCAGACAGACAGAGAGAGACATAGAGACAGAAAGCGAGAAATCACCCCCCAGGGGGGATGGTCACGCTGCAATCCCTTCTCCTCCATTCTCCTCTCGGGATCTTGGGCACGCACGCACACGCGCCCGGCATGAGTTTTAAGCCACCGGGTCCGGTATGCAAACCGCAGTCAACTACGTGGGAGTCCAGCGACATAGTCATTACGCTAACTGCTGGTTCCCTATATTTGCTTTTTAATACAACTTTTAAAATCTCTTGAGTTGGCTTCTTTTGTGATCCTATGTTTTACTGTGGGCCTTTAAAAGCATTATTCTGGCGGCATGGAGGTAGAGCACCTCTTCAGAATGCTGGAGTCCTGTGGAAGGCAGGTTCAGTACCTGGGTTGACCTATAAATGCCAGAGGCACACACGTGTGGCTTTGAGCCTGGCTGGGAAGGCTGGGAAGAGGGTAGCAGTGTGACACCCTGTTGTAGGTGCTTGTCTTTCTCTTCTCAAAATAAACAAACAAACAAATAAATAAATAAACTTTTTTTTTTTGGAGTGGTTTTTGCTATAAGGTGCGTGCGCTCGCCAGACAGACAGAGAGGGACATAGAGACAGAAAGCGAGAAATCACCCCCCAGGGGGGATGGTCACGCCGCAATCCCTTCTCCTCCATTCTCCTCTCGGGATCTTGGGCACGCACGCACACGCGCCCGGCGTGAGTTCTAAGCCACCGGGTCCGGGACGCGAACCACAGTCGACTACGTGGGAGTCCACGACATAGCCATTACGCTAACTGCTGGTTCCCAATAAATAAACTTTAAAAAAAAAGCAAAAACAAAAATAAAATTATTCCAGGAAGGAGTCCATGGCACAAAGCAGAGGTGGAGACAGCCTTAGTAAGGCACAGTGGCCGTGGGAAGTAGGGTTTCATGGAGACAGTGAACAAGGTATAGGGTTGGAATAAAAGTAAATTAGGTTTGGACTAGTTAGGTGGCATTTTAAAAACTAAGGAGAGGGGGGCCAGCAGGTGATGTGGTGGTTAAGGCACTGGACTCTCACATAGCCAACTGCAGTTCAAGTCCTAGACCTGGCGACTTGCTTTCTCACTTTCTCTCTCTCTCTCTCTGTGGTGTACACACATACCCTATAACAAATTTAAAAATAATAACAATGATAAATAAAACAAATAATTCTTTTAAAAAGAAAAAGAAATCTGAAAAGAAAATCCATAAATTTAGTGGATTAGTAAGCCTCTAAGAAATGCAATTGTCAGCCTCATTTCTGACTGAGCAGCTGTATCAGGGCTCCTCACACTTTAGTATGAATAAAAATCACATGGAGGACCAGCAGATAATATAATTGTTACATCACTGGACTCACATGTAGTCGACCATGGTTTGAGTCTTAGACCCAGTGGCTTAAAACTCATGCTGAGCACATGGGCATGTGTACACAAAATCTCAGGAGGAGAATGAAGGAGAAGGGATTGCAGCATGGCCATCCCCCGCAGGGGGTGATTTCTCGCTTTCTGTCTCTCACATGCCCAATAACAAAAATATCTCTTAAAAAAAAAAAAAAAGAAAAAAAAATCACATGGAGAACTTAAGAAAACACAGATTCCTGAGCCCCACCAGAGATTCTGATTCAGCAGGTCTTGGGTGGCGTCCCCAGATCTGCATGCCTCATAAGTACCTGGGTGATGTCGACATGCCTGTTCACACAAATTTCACCCCAGTTACCACGGATGTACATCACACGCATCAGAGAAATGAAGTTCAGAGGCGTTGGGCCCATGCCCCTGGCATTCAGCAGTGTAGTGCAAGTTCTAAACGGGGTGGGGGAGGAATCTCACAACTAAATAGGTTTGTGAAAGACTCAGAACAATAAAGAAACTATCATGCCGATGTGCACTGTCACTCTCACGAGAAGGATATAGAGCATGCCGTGTGTTGCAAGCTATGTGACCACAAAATCCTCTAACATGAGTTGTGCTGAACAAGTTGACTGAGGACACATTTGAGTAAAGCTGGCCTATGGTATCTTTACAGGGTTCCTTCAGGAGGTGAATACTGGGCTGAGGCGGTCTACCAGGAGGCTTACTTGTTCGTTAAGTCTTTGCCAAGCAGTCTTGAATAGTTCAACTGACATTATGAGATTTAATGAAAGGCAATTTCTTGAAGTTCAATTTCTTTACTTCACTTAAGTTATTGATTTTCCTGAATGCCACTCAGTATCACTTATTTTAGTCAGACCATAAGTTTGGAAGGGCGTATCTAAACTCCTAGCTACCCGGGGGTGAGTCTGAATCACACAGGACACACGGTTGGGCAGTTCTGCCATCTCTGCCTTGTAGGACTAATTGCCCGGAGCACGTCTCGTTAAGCACACTCATGAGTGCTGGGCGTGCGCACGCACACACGTACACACATGCACCTGACCATCAATCCATCAGGTCTTTACATAAGTTCGACTTTGACGCCTGTCCAATATGGGCCAGTAATGTTTTCCAGAGGATAAGATCTATCTTAGGGGTTTCAACAGTTATTTTTGTTCTTTTTGCTCCAAGGAGAAAGAAAATAGAACCT